ACATCAAATCGACAGGAGCTTTCCTTAGCCACTTACCTGAACCGTAAGAAATTAATATTTAACCCTAAACCTAACCGTAACCTAATTGTAACCTTAACCCTGAAACTGCAATTTGAGGTGTTTGTGCTGATATGCTGTATTTGATTTTTTACCGTGCCCTACCATCTTTTTAGAGATAAGAGGTTTTCCCCTTTTTCTAGTTGCACTGTCATGAACTTTAACATTTAACATGGGTATTCTGCAGCTTCTCTCAGCACTGCATGGTCTGACTTTAGTGAACATTTTCTAGGATGTCCACCCCTGGGAAGATTAGCATCTGTCTTGAATGTTTTCCACTTGTGGATAACCTTTATTAGTGTAGAATGATGGACTTCAGTTTGTTTGGAAATGACCTTACTGACCTTTCTTTTTTACCATGAGTATTTCATTACTAACACTTAACGGTTCAATTTTCTCATTTACAAAACACAGAAACAGAAAAATTCTGCAGTTTCACTTGACTTCTTTTAGCTGTCTTTCATCTGTAGGTTGGCCTGTGAATGCTCACTCAGTGGCAATCTGTGAGGGCCTGGAGGACTGGGGTGCTACAGACCTCACCACTTTATCAGACTCAGAGGAGGATGAGGATCAGCCTGCCCCACTGGTGAGATTTTGTTACTGTCACATGAGATATGCACAGAGTTCACACAGAAACTGAGATGTGGTTATGCAGAGAACATGGACTACTAAAAGCAGTTTAAATATGCTTGCCTGTCAGGAGGGACTTACTAAAGCTTTTAAAATTCTAGCTCTTATTTTTTGTTTGTTTCTTTGTGTTTGCATGAAGCCTACTGCCTATTTAAGGGAAAACTATGAACATTAAGCTGTGCAGCTACAGCAGGTGGAAGGTCCTACCTGAACCTAGTAGATCTCCCTCAAATGAGTGGTGGCATCCAGCCTGACATGATGATATTGGACAAGACCTGCCTTCTTGATATTTTTCCCCCATCCAATATGACTATGAAGGACACTGTGACTGACGTATCATCTATTGTACACTGATACTTTGTGCGATGATGCTCTTTGCGGCCTGTGGTGGTTTACGAGTTCCTAAATGAG